CCAGTGCTACTGTAGATATACTACTATATAATACTACAGTAAACACCAGTGCTACTGTAGATATACTACTATATAATACTACAGTAAACTCCAGTGCTACTGTAGATATACTACTATATAATACTACAGTAAACTCCAGTGCTACTGTAGATATACTACTATATAATACTACAGTAAACTCCAGTGCTACTGTAGATATACTACTATATAATACTACAGTAAACTCCAGTGCTGATCAGTCTCCGTCTCCTCTTCTGCTCATAAATATAAATATAAACTATAATCTTTAATAAAATACAATCATTAAAATATTGTCCTCAGATGGAACGTCAGAATTCCTGCTTTTCTGCAGGAAGTTACGATCTTCTCTCTCCTCCCTGTCTTTACCCCCGCCTCCTTCTCACCCCCCACCTCTGCAGTGGAGAACGTCCAGCTGAGTCTGCCGCTGCAGACGGAGAACAAAGGGCTGGTTGTAGCGGGAGGCGAACTCAACGTCTGTCTGGACGGAATGGTTGTTGATCTGGGCTCACTGCCCAACAGCAGAGCAGCAGCAGACAGTGAGTGGCACACACACACACACACACACACACAGGTACAGAGGAGCATTGAGCTGCTGTGTAAGAAGAGTTAAAGAGTTGAATTCTCTGTTAAAACATAATTCACAGTGAAGATTTCCAGAGAACATGAGGTTTAAAAAAACAACAACAAACATCCGTTTGTTCTCTGTCCAGTCATGTGAGTCACAACGGTCTCTTCAAACCAGTGTCGCTCCAAGTAGAACGTCCTGCTAATGACACAGGTGAGAACCAAAGAGCTAACAGTTAGGGTTCAGTCAGCAGAGAGAGCTAGAGGTTAGCCAAACATTTAGCACGAGCCTGACACGGTCAGCAGTGATGTGAGGAGCTGAATACTGTGTGTGTGCGGTGGCCTTTGACCTCTCACCCACTCATGTTTTGGTTCTTCACCAGGAGAGCGTTGACCTTGACGTCTACTGTAGCTCTAGAGGAAGCCTCAGCTCAGAACTTTTTTTTGTCGGTTCTAGTGTGGAAACAGTTCTGTTGTTGACTGTTTGACGCTCCTCCCTGTCACTGGCCTCGGACTTTGGTCGTCCATTTTTACCTGCCTCACACGTTTGACACACAATGTTTAACATCTCTTCTTAGCACCACCTACAGGCCAAGGAAGGGGAGCTACATGCGCAGTGCTCAAATACTACAGCTCAGAATACCCACCTTTAATACAACTCTCTGCTAAAACTTTACTTTTCAAAAAAATGTGTTCTTTGTGCCTGATTCTTCACAAGAATCCAGTTTGGGCTGTGGTCAGAACCTGGTTGTTCTCACCAGGCCAGCCCATTTTCCCAGCAGTGAAGTGGAACCAAAGCTCCACCTCCGTACGCTTCATAGAAGAACAACTGTTCAGATCCACTGGTTCTGTTCTACTGAGGTCCGGTCCATGTCCTGAAACCTCTGGGTCAGAAGGCTGGACCTTCAACGGTCACTGGGTCGGCCGTGTTGAACCCTTCTGGTTCTGGACCAGGTCTTATTTGGCATGTTCGGAGTTAGGCTTTCAGGAAATGAAACTCTGTGAGGCTAGAACCCAGAACCTTCTGGTCTCTGTGGTGTCAGCTCCTGAGCAGTGACGTGGCTGCAGACGTTCTGAGGTGTTCAACCGCAGCGGCAGAAACGGGTGCATGTGCTGATGATGTCACTGCTGGCTCTCACACCCTGACATGAGGTGTTCTCAGGACAGGTTTGAACCAATCACAGGCTGTATGACTCAGCAGCAGGTCTTTATTTCCAGGCCCAGAGCCAGTGTTTTACCTTCCTCTGTGGCCTGGACTCAAAAGAGGAGGAGGAGCAAGGGGAGCAGGAGGTGTTGTTTAACAAACACACACTTATCGGGTCCACCTCCCAGTGTGGCACACACACACACACAGAGCAGCAGCATGTGTGTGTCAGTGTCAGTCACTGAATGAAAAACCTTTTTATTTCATTCCTGGTTAAAAATAAAACAAACTCTTCTTTAAGACTCTTTACTTCAGATCACCTCCCTCCTCCCTCCTCCCTCCTCCCCCTCACCCCTTCTCCCCTCCCTCTCACCTACTTCCTCTCTCCTACTCCTCTTCCTTCTCCATCTCTCCTTGCATTTACAATTTCAAGTACAAGAACCTACACTCAGAACCAGCAATTAGACTCAGACCATTAAGAGGGAAGGGGGCGCTGCACTCACTCTGAGACAACGTTGTTCCTTCTGCGGAACCCTGTTTATTTTTCCTGTGTCCACTGGGCTGTGGCCACAAAAAGCTCTTTCATAGCAACGTGTGTGTGTGTGTGTGTGTGTGTGTGTGTGTGTGTGTGTGTGTAGAAAGTAAGTGTTAATAAAAAAACATGTTTTTCAGCCTGTGGTTTTTAGTCGCCAAGCACAAAGTCACACATTCTCTCACTGCAACACACACACACACACACACACACACACACACACAGGCCTGCTTCTGTCTGTTAAGGCAGCAGTGTTTCATGTTTCTGCACCAGTGTAGATTCAGCTCCACAGTCAGAGAGGAGCATTCACTCACTCATATATATATATATATATAATATATATATGTTAATATATATATATATATTAGGAATGCACTGAATATTTGGCCACTGAAATTCTTTGGCCAAAAATGGCCCAAAAGTTTGTTCTCGGCCCAAAGACTTTTATCACTGAAACAAAACAGACGGAACAGGAAGTTATGATAACGTGACCTAAAACTGTGTCCAGTGTGGGCTTAAAGTACCAACATGTCTCTGCCGTGTGGAAAAGTGTTTCAGTATGTCTGAGAAAGACCCACGGACAGAGATTTGATGAACGTGAAATGCTGAACATTAAAAAGAGTGGATATAGATATATATTTGTATGTCTATAGTACATGTAGCGTAAACAGAATATGATTGTTTTCTGTAATGTTTCACATTTAGTCTTAATGACTGTTGTTTCATGTGGAGAGAGGAGAATGTTCTAGTCCTATAGATTAGACCTAAATGTGTGTGTGTGTTTGCAGAGGTGCTTCAGTCTGACAGACCCAACCTGAGGAGGACACAGAGTGAGGACACGTCCAATACTCCTGCATCCAACAGCAGGTCAGCACATACACACACACACACACCCCCCGCTGCCTCCTCTTTACTCCTGTCTCCTGACTCTTGTTTCCTGTCTTGTCTCTGTCCCTCTGGTGTCTCCCCTGTCAGGGTCAGCAGACTGTCGGTGGGAGGTCTCCACAGTGGTCCTCCTGGTGGCTCCACGGCTGGTTCTTTGTCTAATGGCGAGCAGAATGAGGAGAACTCCTTGTCAGGTCTGTCTGGTCACCAGTGTTACTCCACGGGTCCTGTAGGCCCAGGAGTAACGGTCCAGTCTGTGTGGACACTGACCAGAGTCCATGGAAATGTCTAACCTTCCTTTGTCTTTGTATGTCCTCAGACAAAGTGGAGTTGACGTCAAACAGTCCAGAAACCGGCGGCGGTGTGGTCCATCAGACGCCTCCTCCCACCTCTCCATCAGGCCGATCTCTGGCTGCAGACGGCACCAGGAGCAGCAGCAGTCCTCCTCCAGGTCAGGACGTCCCAGGCCAGGTCCATCCAGCAGAGCCTGGACCCAGCAGCAGCAGCAGCAGCAGCACAGAGCCAGTCAACAACAGCTCCCTCCCTGCAGGGTGAGTGAGGAGCAGCTGGTCCGAGTGAAGTCGGCTCAGAACCTCCTCAGACCTGGACCAGGTTCTGCAGGATGTGCTGCTCAGAAAAAAAAATCATCTTCTACAAATCTCTTATTTTTTTGTCTCTAATAAAAGTCCAACTAAACACCCTGTGCCTGCAGCAGCAGTCCCTGGTACTGTTTCCTGACACACCTGTCTCTTTGATCTCCAGCTGGGAGCAGCGGGTCTTACCTCACGGCAGAGTGTACTACGTGGACCACAACACCAAGACCACCACCTGGGAGAGACCACTGCCTCCAGGGTAAGACTGTGTTTGGTCTTCCATGTCACATGACTGTCCTGATCAACACCACGTTCACACTGGTGAGGTCTGTTTTTTGGTGACTTGTCCACAGTCAATGAATATGAAAAGAAAAAAGTGTGTGAGGCTGTAAATGAGGTTTGTCGGGGCACAGCACACACATAAAGGTACAAAAAAAATGTTCCGAGATGAAGGTGGACGTTAGGTTTGCTCTGGAGCTGCCGTGAGGCCCGCACATTTCTACGATCATTTCAATTTTGAGTCGTCTGAAAGTGAGTGCAGAAAAGGACGTACGACACCTTTGATACATCAGGCCCCTGGTGTGGACACTGGTGTGGACACTGGTGTGGACTCTGGTGTGGACACTGGTGTGGACTCTGGTGTGGACACTGGACGTCTTCAGAGAAGGGACAGGTTGTGTGAATGTTTAGACTCTGTGTGCTGGTCAGTGATTGGTCGAGCAGGAGTCCGTACTGTTGTTTAACCAACACCAAACACTCACTTCCTCGTCCCCCGTCCCCCGTCCCCCACTCCTCTGAGCATCACTGCAGCTCACCTCAGACTCACACACATACACACACACTCCTGAGTGAATGTGAGGGTGTTTGTGTGAGAAAAAGAGGCAGTTGTGAGGGAAAGGTCACCCCCACCTCTCCAACCTCCAACCCCCTCATCTCAGTTTTTCCAAATGAGGAAGGAAAGCAGAGAGGCGGGGGGGGTGGAGGTGGAGAAGAACAAAAGTCCTTTCTTGCAGCAACATGTACCTCCACCCGTCCTCCGGCACATGGGCTGCTGGACCTCCGTACCGTCAATTAGCTGTTGAGTGTTGGGCCAGCCCCACACCAGGAACATGTTATAGTGGGGGGGCTGTTAGGGAGCCCCGCTCTGGGGGGCGGTCCTTAATGACTGAGGAGAAGAGTGGTGTCTTTATCAGAGCGTGGAGCAGACCACATGGTCCAAACAGACCTTCTCTTCAGCTGAACACACACCTTCTGACTGGGACTGAAGGTCTGTGTTCACCCTGGTCTGTCCAGGACCTGGTCTGTCCAGGACCTGGTCTGTCCAGGACCTGGTCTGTCCATCACCACACTGCTGCTCCCACTGTTCATGTTCAGACCCATAGGTCAGAACTTGTCTTTGTCTCCCCCAACTTCTCTCTCCGTCCTGTTTTTGTTTTTTCTTTTCTCGTCTTAGTTGGTCATGGTCTATAAAAAGCTGTTCAAACACACACACACACACACACATTCTTAATAAAGATGTTTTCAAATGTTGCAGCCTCTTTTAACCTCCTCATTTCCTGTTGTTTTTTTTGTTTTTTTTTAATCCTTTATTCAGATGGGAGAAGCGGGTGGACCAGCAGGGCAGGTTCTACTACGTGGACCACAACACCAGAACCACCACATGGCAGAGGCCCACGGCCGAGTCGGTGAGGAACTACCAGCAGTGGCAGAGCCAGCGCAGCCAGCTGCAGGGAGCCATGCACCAGTTCAGTCAGCGCTTCCTCTACCAGGTACTCCTGCCCCCCGCCCACTCCCCCACCCCCCCTCACTGCTCACACCGTGGTAGGCCGCTGCTGTTGTGTCAACAGGAGTCAGTCCACGTCTGTCAGAACCATCTGCTGATAAATACATACAAATCTTTGGCCAGAAATTGCCCTGGTTGTCATAAATACATACAAATCTTTAGCCAGAACTTGCCCTGGTTGTCGGGCAACAAGTGGTCAGTGAGTGACCGTGTGTGTGTCCTCAGTCCACCTCAGGATATACAGGTTATATTTGCCAGTATTTCTTTACAGTTTGGTTGATGTGTAGCATCGTTAAGAAGAAGGAAGCAGTAAAAGAAGCTAATGTGTGACTGTGATCAAGAAGTAAGTGAAGTGAACATTGTCCAATCAGGACTCCTCAGCAGCCGTAAGGACCAATCAAATGACCTTTCCTATTTATGGTTTTATTCTTTATTCAGTTTGAATCAGCAATTCATCCATTTGACGTTGATTCCTGTGGGGAAAATTATTTCAGTTTGGTTCATGAACGCCCTTCAGGAAGGAATCAAGTTCTAAAACCCAGGATCCACTGTATGTACATACATCACATACATATATGTCCGTCCATCCAACTGCACCGTACCACCAAACCCCCCCCCCTGAACCTTCCTGTGGGTGGTGAGTCCACTGGAAGGCGCTCTAACCAGGATTGGATCTTGCCCAGGAGGTGAACCCTGGGGTTCCACACCAGTGACACAGACGTTGCCTCTGGGCCACAGCTCCACATACATATATGTATGTGTGTGTATATATGGTCTTGTTTCCTGACGTCTTTGCTGAGGTAACCAGAGCTGGCCACACAGTTCCACTGCTGGTCCAGAACCAACCCACGGTCTTTTTAGATTCTACACGTCATCACCACGAACCAACCACAGGACTGAGAACTATCTCGCGGTGCGGTACACGACTCAGTGCGGTGGGCTGGTTACAGAGCCGTCGGGAGTCACATGACACTGGTCCTCGGTTGTACTTTTCCAGTGGACTGGTTGATAGTCTGCCACCTCCTCTGAGCACAGTGGTTTTCATGGTCTCTCTGGTCTCAGTGGAGCTGCCAGGGTCAGACTGCAGCAGTTTGTCGCTGGTGCGTTCGTTAATCCAGACCCACTGGTCCACACTCACTCTGTGTGGTTCCCACTCCTGCTGTGACTTTGTCTGTGTGTGTGTGTGAGAGTGTGATGTTCCTGTTCCACCACCAGGTTCTCCATTCATCAGTCAGATCTTTCTAACTCCACCACCAGGTTCTCCATTCATCAGTGATTTCTGTCAGAAATCGTCAGAAATCGTGAAGATCGTTGATGGATTGATCTGGTCTGATCAGGCTTTGACTCTGCCTTTGATTCACTCCACACTGACTCAGACAGAGTGGTGTGTGTGTGTGTGTGTGTCTTGTTAGTGAAGGTGTACGGAACGACCTCAGAGTCATTAGCTGCTGTTTCCGTCTCACCCTTCTCACCCACATCCCTGCTCCCATTACCTCCACCTGTGTCCCCCAACCCCCCCCTTCCGCCTCCCTCTGGTGAATGTTCTCGGACTCAGACAGAGTGGTGTTTGTGTGCCTCCCTCTGGTGAATGTTCTCACCTCCTTCAGGTTGGTCCAACACATCTCCATCTGAACCGGTCCAGGTCTGATCCCAGGACTTTATTTACTGTAAGATTGATTTACTTTAATCTGTGAAACAGAGGTTGGTTAATGAGACAGAGGTTGGTTAATGAAACAGAGGTTGGTTAATGAAACAGAGGCTGGTTAATGAAACAGAGGTTGGTTAATGAAACAGAGGCTGGTTAATGAGACAACACTGTCAGAACCTGTTGGATCCAAAGAACTGTTTCTCCAACCTTGTTTAAATGATCCAGAACTAATTCAACAGCTTGTACGATAAAGTTTATTTCCTACCTTAGCCTGTTTGTAGCCTCAGTTGCTCTCTCCCTCTCTCTCCCTCTCTCTCCCCCTCCCTCTCTTCCTCACCCTCCCTCTGGTTTTGACTGTCTGGTCTCCCTGGAACAAGGAGCCCTAACAGCAGCTGAACCTGAATCAGCTCTGTGTTTTATCATTGACAGACCTGGACACACACACACACACACACACACACACACACATGTTTTCTAAAGTAAACTATCAATAGAAGAGTTTCTCTGTTTCCTTAAATGTCCAATCAGCATTGAGATAACCAGCTCCGCCCACACTCCCATGATTCCTATCGAAGCCCACCACCCATTTATCCCAGCAGTTTCTTGTAGCCTGTGGTAAAATAAAATCTCTCCACTTCTGCCTGAAGCTGAGCTTCAACAGGGTTTCATACGCTCCACGTCTCCAGGAAGCTCTGAGGAGAACCAGTGGAACCTGGTTCCTCTTCACTTCTGGTTTTCTGTTCACACCTCGTGATAATAACAGTCAAAGAAACGTCACTGTTTTTTACCGCTGGGCAGAGTGGATCAGCACAACCTAGAGCGCCCTCTGCTGCAGCATAGTGTAACTACTTTTAAAGGTTGTCCCAGTGACTGCCCTGGTGTCTGAACCAGTGATCGGCTGCTGGTGCAGCAGGGCGTTTATGGTCTGTTCCCTCTGTTCCCACATCCTTTATTTCACACTTTTTTGCCAGCGTGCAACTTTTTCCCCTCTTCCTAAAGCCCTNNNCCGTAGCTGCTGAGGAGCTGAATGGTCAGATCCAGGATGAAGTCATCACGTCTTTATATCATTATATTCTCCTTTTACCTTTTTTAGTCACAGCAAAACCCAGAAAGGGTGGAGTACAGGGGCAGTAACACACACACACACACACACACACACACACACACACTCTGTTCTGTACCCACTCTGAGTCCTGCAGCAGACCCAGTCCTTTCCATCCTGACTCTCACAGTTTCCATGACAAAGACTCACTTTTCTCAGAGGGACATTTAAAAAAAAACACAGACCATAAACCAGGAAATGGTGATAAACAGGAGGAGCAGGGACACTGAGGAGGACACATGAGGACAGCTGTCTCAGTGTCCTCCCAGGCTGTCTTCCTGTCGGTCACTGTTTGTCAAAGACTCAGTCTTCTGACTCAGGTTGATCCTGTCCATCGTTGTCCTTCCTTAGTTTTGTCCTTGATCTGTTGATCAGACAGTTGATGATGTCATCAAGTCTTCACACCAAAGATGATTAGAATCTGAGTGTGGCTTTCTATTGTCACGGGTGATGATGATGATGATGATGATGATGATGATGATGAAACACTAATTTCTCACAAACATCGTTTTAGCTGATTTTTTTCCACTGATGCTAAAACATCGTTTGTGAGGATGTACACAAACTGTATTTGGTTCAAGGTTTCCGCCCTGTGACACACACACACACGTGCGTGTACATATATCGTGAGTAACCTACAGTGGTTTCCAGACCCAGGGTTGAATAAAGGTGCCTTTTGTCAGGCCCTGGGGTGGGTTGGGTTGGGTTGGTGGGTGGAGGTGAAGGTGGGGGTGGGGTGTGGGTGGGTAAGTTGTCCATTCTGGAAGGAGCATGAATGTTCCCTCAGTTCCCTCAGACATCACACTTCCCTGCTTACTTTCACAGCAGCTCTACAAGAGGAAAAAAAAAACTCCATGAGGAGGAGGAGGGGGGGGGTGGAGGAGGTGGAGGAGGAGGAGGAGGTGGACCTCCTCTGTGAGGGCTGCAAAGGGGGAGGTGTGGCTGCCAGGGCAGGGTTTTTTTGGTGGAGGAGGTGTTTGAGGAGGTGAGCGGGAAGATGAGGGCAGTGGTAGGATGTGGGGGGGGCGGGGCCAGCATCCAGACAGCGATCTGATTGGTTCAATGTTGTTTTTTTTTATCCTCCTACTGAACGTGGAGGGTTTTTTTTTGGGAAAAGCCAAACGAGCTGCCCTGCTGCCAGCTCCGTCAGTTGCCCCTCACCGCTGCTGCTGAGAGGAGGCAACACCCCCTCCACCCAACCACCACCTCCCTATCTTACTACCTCCCAACTCCTCCACTTACACACACACACACAGACACACACACACACAGAGTTCTGTCAGACTAACTCATGGGTCCGACTCTGACTCTGTACCGAGGTGCGGACCCTCGGACCCTGGATCTGCCTCTGAGGAGTGAGTTTGTTTGAGTTTTATTTCCCTCTCTCTTCAGCAGAGAGGAGCAGCGAGGAGCTGTGGTCCTAACTGGACTTTTCTTTTTTTTCTCTCTCTCTCCACAGCCGTCAGGAGCTCCAGTGGAAAACGACCCCCTGGGCCCACTGCCTCCTGGATGGGGTGAGTTCAACTCCACACACACACACACACACACACACACAGAGACATAACATTTGTGAACCTTAGTTCAGGTGAAAACTGAAGGAGTTAAAGAGGTGGAGGTTTTGGTACCGACAGGAGGTGTAGAACCAAACCTAGTTCATCAGAACTGAAACTCTTTTATGGTTAAATGGACCAGGGTTCAGGTCCACAGGGTTGCGTGTCATTAGTTGTTGTTTTCAAAGTTCATCTTCTGACTGGAGCTCGATGTTCACTTTGCTTAACAACAACAACAACAACAATAATAATTTTAAGTTTAAATATTAGAGTTGTCTTTATTTCACCTTTGGTTGAAACTTAACAACCAAACAGTTCTAGTACTAGATCTGTAAAGTACCAATAAGTTTAAATCTAAAATCTTCAAACTAAACTTCAGCTTCAATTGAGTTTCAGAACATTTTTATAACAACTCAAATATAATTAGGTACTAGGTTTGAAAAATAAATCCTTCCTACCACGGCTTTAACTGTACCAGTCATTCATTGGTCGACAGATAGTCAGAGTCCAGGGTTCATGACCCTCCAGACACCCAAAGCAGAGGAACAGTCAGAACAACAGTCAGAACAACAGTCAGAACAACCTCAAGTTCTCCTTCCATCAACCAGTATGTCAATGAGCTCAGTCCTTGGTTCTGTCTGAGCTGATCTGATGGTAATCACTGAACCCACTGGTACTGATTCTGGTACTGGTTCTGGTATGGGTTATGGTTCTGGTACTGGTTCTGGTTCTGGTACTGGTACTGGTTCTGGTTCTGGTTCTGGTTCTGGTTCTGGTTCTGGTTCTTCAGTGATGAGATGGTAGTCAGTCAGACCAGAATGAATGAGTGACTGGGTGACGTCTTCTACTATGTTCTGAACCCCCTCCTCGGCCCCCGCCCCTCACTTTTCTTTTCAGTGATTCTTTTTCAACATGTTGTGGTTCCTCAAGACTAAAAACCTCAATTATATCACTGGCTCTGTTTTCTTTTTTTTTTGGCGCGATCTTTTTTTTCGTCTGTGGTTTCTTCCCTCGCTTTTTTTTTTTTTGCCTTTTTTGTTTGGCTTTAAAAAAAGATGGTGGGGGAGGAGGAGAAGTGGTGGTCAATGAAAGACAAATATTAAGACGCCCCCCCCCCCCCCCTCCTCTGTTCTAATGATAGACATCCGTTTGTAATGGTTAAGGTTAGAGAGTATGTCAAGTACCCACAGTTCCTGAAAACAAGACTGTGTGTGTGTGTGTGTGAGCTCTACTGTCTCTGGGCCTCCACACACTGCTGCTAATGAGGAAAAGATGTCAGGAGGAGAAGAAGGAGCTGCAGGAGGAGAGGCCCCATCAGCTACCGACCCCCACCTCTCTCTCCCCCTCTCTCTTTTTCTCCCTCTCTCTCACACACACATTTACATCTAATGTAATAGTCATTTTCTGCTATAGTTGACTACATAGAGGCTGAAGTGGAAGGTGAGCTCCTCACCACATCGTAGTGACTCTCTCTCTCTCTCCCTCTCTCTCTCCTCCTCACACACACACACACACACACATATATTTGGGTTCACCCTGCTGAGGTATTCACACCAGGTCTTAGTGAAATTTCACACTGACTCACTAGTTCACTCTCAGCAGACTGTGAGTTTATTTTTCCCCGTCCCTCACACACACACACACACTGTGTATGTGTGTGTGTGTGTGTTTCTGTGTGTGTTCACTTCACTAATGTCTTCATTCTGTGTTCGTCTGCACAGAGAAGCGTCAGGACAATGGCAGAGTTTACTTTGTCAACCACAACACCAGGACGACGCAGTGGGACGACCCGAGGACGCAGGGGTGAGTGTCAGTGTCTGTGACTGTGTCTGTGACCGTGTCTGTGACCGTGTCTGTGTACTTTGGAAATGACAACTAGTTCCTGGAACAATTTATATAAATTATATAGATTTTAACTTTATTAAAATTAGTTCTTGCTCCATCCTCATCCTCATCTTCATCATCATGTCTTCATTTCTTGAACGTCCGTCCTCAGTGGACACACGTCATCTGTGTGTCCACACTGACAGGAAGTGTTCTTTTCTCCACCTGCTGCCTTTGGTTCTTCTGCAGTGACTGTTCCACTAACATGATGGTGGCTAAACCTGTGGTGTGTGGACAGATGTTCTGGTTCTGTCTGTACTCTGTGGACTGTAGTGTCCCTGGTGGACACAGTACCAGACTGTAGTGTCTCTGGTGCTGGTGGACACAGTACCATCAGACTGTAGTGTCTCTGGTGGACACAGTACCATCAGACTGTAGTGTCTCTGGTGGACATGGTCAAGCAGGAACCTCAGGTAGAACTTTGGTTCAGGAACCGTGGGTCCACATCAGTCCACTGTCTTCTGGTCCGTTCTTCATTCTGGATAAAACAGTTCTGTTGGTGCCCTCTAGTGGTAAAGACTGGTTAAATCTGCAGACGAACATGTAAGAAGTTTTACTGAGTACAGCAGGTACTGTTGTACTCTGGACTTTGGTCCTTGTAGTTCTTGATCCTTTCATGTACAAGGGGCGTACTGAACATTAGGGGGCGCTCCAGCTCCATCTCTACATGAGTTCAGTGGTCCATGACCTGGAAGAGTCTTCAGGGTCGAAGGATGTGAAGTGTTTGAAGTATTGTAGACACAGTTGTACACAGCTTCACCACAGTATCTACAGAGTACAGTATATACACAGTGCAGTATCTACAGAGTACAGTATCAGTATCTACAAGTGCAGTATATACACAGTGCAGTATCTACAGAGTACAGTATATACACAGTGCAGTATATACACAGTGCAGTATCTACAGAGTACCAAAGAGTTTTTGACTTGACATAAAAACTGTAGCTTCTCCTTCAGAGCAGCTCAGTAGCTCCCCCTGCTGGGACCGTGCTCACTGCTCTCTCCCTGTTTCCAGGATGATCAAGGAGCACCCCTTGCCTCCAGGCTGGGAAATGAAGTACACCGCAGAGGGAGTCCGTTATTTTGTGGATCACAACTCCCGCACCACCACCTTTAAAGACCCCAGACCAGGGTTTGAGTCAGGGTAAATATTCAGACCTTTACTTCACCAATACCTGCTGAGTCCAAGTCTGACATGTCAGAACCATCAGAGTACTTTGAAGTACTGACTCTCAGGCAGTGCAGTGAGGTGTTTTTCTCTCCCGTCTGACGTCACTGAGACTCATCTTCACCTCATCCCCGTTCATTCTATCAAAACACACACACTCTGAATTGTGGTAGTATACAGATGGTAGTATACAGATGGTAGTATACAGATACTGCGATTCTGCCTGTGGTAGAACTTATACAAAGTTTTCAGATACATTTCTTTGGAAAAGGCAACAAGAAGAATCTGATTGTTCTGTAAAAATAAAACAAAACTCCCCCTCCTCTCTAACCCCCCCACCCCCTCCTCTCTACCTCAGGTCCAGACAGGGAGGTTCACCTGGTGCCTACGACAGAAGCTTCAGGTGGAAATATCACCAGTTCCGTTTCCTGTGCCATGTGAGTCACATCTACACACACACACACACTCACACACACACACACACACACTCTAACCTGCAGGTGAAACATTTTGGGGTCATGTGACCTGACCTGTTCCATGTTCTGTGTTCAGTCCAACGCTCTACCCAGCCACGTGAAGATCTCCGTGTCCAGACAGACTCTGTTTGAAGACTCCTTCCAGCAGGTCTGTTTGTGTTCCACTCTTCACCACCAGATGGCACTGTCACCATATTTACTGATTACATTTTTAACCTTTCATGATTTAAAAAAGGCCTCATTTTCTCATGGACTGCCCCCTTGTGGCAGACCTTAAAGAAGCGTTCAGATGTTCCTGGTGTAATGCTCAGTCCTGCGTCTTCTCTTCAGATCATGAACGTGAAGCCGTACGACCTCCGCCGCCGTCTCTACATCATCATGAGGGGGGAGGAGGGGCTGGACTACGGCGGAATCGCCAGGTGAGGGCCCTCACCAGACCTCTGAAATAGACCCCTTTATTAGACTGTTGGCTTATGCCCTCTGGTGGCCAACTGTGGCTTTGCAACTTGTCTTCTGTCTCCTGATTGGTGTGTAACTGTTGGTGGTGCAGCTGCTGATACACGCCTGACCGAGGTCACATGACCACCACGTGCTGTTTGTTTATGCTACACCATCTGTCCGTGTGTGCGTGCTTGTCAATCAGTGTGTTGAAAAGCTGTCCAAACAAACTCCTCCTCCTCCTCTTCATCCTCCTGCTCTTCCTCCAGTATCACACATCATCATCTTCCTCCTCCTCTCTTCACCTGAGTTGTTTTGTTTAGATTTTGGTCTGTCTCCTGGTTGGTTGGTTGATCTTTCCTGTGTGGGACATGTCTCCATCCATCACTGTGTCTCTTTGGTCCTCCCATTGTGTCTCTGTCTCTGGTGTCTCGTCAGTGGTTTTACCCTATGGTAGGTGACATCATGCTGTTCTACCACAGGGTAGAACCACGGACGGGATGTTGGGAGGTGTCTGCGTCCGTCCGTCTGCGTCCGTCCATACACACCCTGTCATCACCCTACAGGGGGAGGGGCTAATGTAGCGCTGGTGGTAGCGGTGGCTAACCTTCATCTGTCCACAGCCTGTCGAGGGTGTACCTTATCATGTCATTGTTGTTGTCATGTTTAACACACACACACACACACATTTTATTACTGTCTGTAGTTGGTGTCTCATCTGTTTAGGTGATCATCAGTGATGTCACTTCCTCCTCAGTCACATGACTGCTGTTTTCTCTTCATTGTTGTTTTCCTTTAACTGTCATTGAGATGAACTGGACTGTGACGACACACGTTCATGAGAAATGGATGAAAAATACTTCCCCCTCTAACCTCTGTCCCCCCCCCATGTCTCTCTGTCCCCCTACAGAGAGTGGTTCTTCCTCCTGTCCCACGAGGTCCTCAACCCAATGTACTGTCTGTTTGAATACGCCGGCAAAAACAACTACTGTCTTCAGATCAACCCGGCGTCCTCCATCAACCCAGACCATCTCACCTACTTCCGCTTCATCGGACGCTTCATTGCCATAGTCAGTCTGAGCAACAACGATAAAACAAACTGTCAGTCTGTGGAGAGATGACAGATCAGCAGTCACATGATCAGCAGTCACATGATCAGCAGTCACATGATCATGTCAACTGTGTCTTCTATCAATTCCTACTGTATTTACTCAGTTTCCACCCTCCTCCTCCCCCCCTGACTCCCCCTCCTCTGTCTAGGCGTTGTATCATGGGAAATTCATCGACACCGGCTTCACGTTGCCGTTCTACAAGAGGATGTTGGACAAGAAGCCGACGCTTAAAGATCTGGAGTCGATCGACCCGGAGTTTTACAACTCCATCATGTGGGTGAAGTAAGTAACTGCAACAACACAACACAAGACAACGACAGAAGTGAAGGTCTGAGTGGAAGACTGAAGATATGAACCTGTGTGTGTGTGTGTGTGTGTGTTCAGAGACAACAACCTAGAGGAGTGCGGCCTGGAGTTGTACTTTGCTCAGGACATGGAAATCCTCGGGAAAGTGACGACTCACCAGCTGAAGGAGGACGGAGAGAACGAGCTGGTCACGGAGGAGAACAAGGAAGAGTACATCAGGTACACACACACACATACACACACACACACATAAATACACACTGGTCTGGTATGAAGAGTTGGGAAGTGAGCTCTCCTCCTGCGTGACTCCTCCTCAGCCTCCTGACAGACTGGAGGTTCACCCGGGGTGTGGAGGAACAAACCAAAGCTTTTCTGGACGGCTTCAACGAGGTGGTTCCTCTGGAGTGGCTCAGATACTTCGACGAGAAGGAGCTGGAGGTACACCGACTGTTTCTGTGTGCAGGTGCTGCCTGATGACATCAGGTCCGATGACATCATGTGTGCAGGTGCTGCCTGATGACATCAGACCTGATGACATCATCATCATCATAACCTTTGTCACTTGTCTGTGCAGCTGATGCTGTGTGGGATGCAGGAGATCGACCTGAGTGACTGGCAGAGGAACACCATCTACAGACACTACACCAAGAACAGCAAACAGATCCACTGGTTCTGGCAGGTAACAGACAGACACAGACAGACACAGTAACACACACACAGTGTGACCATCTTCATCATCATCTTCATCACGTCCATCAGGTGGTGAAGGACATGGACAATGAGAAGAGGATCCGTCTTCTTCAGTTCGTCACAGGAACATGTCGACTTCCCGTCGGTGGCTTCGCTGAGCTCATAGGTACAGACGCACGCAGGCGTCGTTTTAATGACGAACTTCTGCCACCTGCTGGTGAAAATGAGTCAAATGAGGGGAAATCTTGTTCTTGATTATTTCTTTGTTTGTCTGCAGGGAGTAACGGTCCTCAGAAGTTCTGCATAGACAAAGTGGGGAAGGAGACCTGGCTTCCAAGAAGCCACACATGGTACGAACCTGCTGATCCATGGGTCAGGGGTCAAAGGTTCAGACTCAGTCTGGGTCAAACCTGTCAAGTGGGACAGGTCATTGTTGAGTTACCAAGGTTTAAATTCCTAGTCCTGGTCCAGCTCTGAAGGACCAAAGTAAAGGCAGGGTTTAGAGTCTGAGCCTGGAATTTCATGTGACTGACCCCCCCCCCCTCCCCCTCTTTCTGCTCTCCATCACAGCTTCAACCGTCTGGACCTGCCTCCGTACAGAAGTCTGGAGCAGCTGAGAGAGAAACTGCTGTTTGCCATTGAGGAGACGGAAGGGTTTGGACAGGAGTGAAGGAGGAGGAAAAGAAGAAGGAGAAGAAGGAGGAAGACAGGAAGTGTTCAATCAGTTGGTTATTGATGTTATTTTGACTTGTTATTCATTAATCTACTGGGCTGAGAGATTACACCACGCTTCAAGACGTATGTGTGTGTGTGTAAGATGGTGAGTGTGTGTGAGATGGTGAGTGAGTGAGTGTGTGTCAGTCCCAGAATAAAGGGTTATATTTGACTAAACACATCCAGATAAACATATCAAGAAAAAAACTTTAAATCTTTTAAATGATGCGTCAGTGTGTGTGTGTGTGAGAGAGAGAGAGAGAGAGAATGACAGACTTGTGTGTTTAGCAGATGTGATTTTATTTTTCCTTCCCGTCAGTTGTCAGATTCAAAAGATTTCTTGTGTACATAACAAAAATAAAAGAAATTTCAATCTTGACACCATGGCTCCGTTTCTTGAAGCGGGTTCACGAAACTCTGAGTTAACGTCACAGCTGTTAGCTCACTGAAGCCTGAGTTAAGTCTGAGTGGCACTCGTGTTTGACTAGATATAAAGGCTCCTTCAATTGAGCACAGATGACACGAACCATGTCATCTGAAAAACAAGTTCTCCTTCACTTCTTTGGATCAAGAAATCTTTATGGATGACTATAAAGACAACACCGTTACAGCTGCCAAAGAAAGGGAAAAGGCTCGGCAACAAATAGATGATGGAGTGAATGAAAGTATTGATGAGAAAGTTACTCATCCTCATTAATTACACAACTGCCTAAGTGTGTAAAATTATTAAAATAAATCTCCGTGATTTCTCTCTCACGTCTGTGTCTGGAAAGGTCTAAACATTCAACGAATTTGTTTTTACTAAAATTAAAAAACTGACGTATTTCATCGTTAACCAGTAGATTTTCAGTTAAGGCTGTAGTTTTACTGTTGTCCACCAGAGCGGCGCACGTCCCTCATCTCAACATTGGGGAGTGAAGTAGAAGAAGAGAAGTGGCGTAATGGAGGCAAAACCAAACCAAGTCACTCGTTACACATGAAGATAATGAAGTTTTCGGACTGAATTCGTTTCAAATGTCCAGCGGTTTCGACGTAAAGTCAGATGGAGGATCAACGAACCGCCGCGCTGAACGCTGTTCCACCGTGTGGACACGTTTTGTCCAGCGAGAAGTGGAGAAACTCTTCCCTCGTCCAGAGCCTCCGAGGTGACGTTTGATTATTTACGTCTGTCGTTGTTGTTGTTACATCAGTATCTGTCCTGTGTTTAGGACTGATTCCTAAATTATTGCCGAAATAACCAAAACTGTGATAAATATTGTATAACAGTATAAATGTTGTATGAAAACCAATCAGTGTAGGATTTGACTTCATCCACACTGTCAGAACGTGAGCCTTTAATGACGATGAGAACTCATTTTTAAAGAAAAAAAAAGTCATGACAGATATAAAATACTTTAATTTGAATGTTACAAACTCTGTCCTAAACATCTTAACTATATAATAATAGTATTATATAATAATTATATATTTTGTGAACATGAATGACAAATATTGCTGTTTTATCATCTGTTTAAATCACTAGAACTGTATATAGTCAAGTGAAGCAGCAGTATTACTGTAAATCTGTAATACTGTTTTAGTTAAGAGTTATACTGCCACCCAGTGGATTATTTCATCATGTACACATGTATGTCAAGGGTGAATGACTCCACTGGTCAGTCTGTGAGACTGGTCCGGTCTCACTCTAGGGGTTAATTCACCCCTCCCCGTCCTGAAACGGTTACGGTGACATTATAACTCAGACGTAAACACTTGATCACAATATATCAGAAAGTTGTTTTGTTCACGTGCTGCCAGGTTGTTGTTGTTGTAGTTTTCTGTTTTGGTTCATTTGGACTTTTTTTTCTTTCTGCTTCCTTTTCTTTGGATTTCTCCTCATTCCTCTCTTTCACCACCTGCAGGTGGAGGAGTGAATGTCCTGTTTGAGAGTGAGCTGGGTGTAGCAGATTTCCATCTTCCCAACAGGAGCTGCGCCCTCTACGTGTCAGAGTGTGACATTGTGGCTGGGAACAGCTACAAGAGGAAACTGGTTCGCTACAGAAATGTGAGAGAAATAACCAACAAAACACACTCAAGAGGAGATCATTGATACTGTGGTGACAGCGCCCCCTACTGTCTAACAGGCCGGCAGCAGCTTCCAGGAGCTGGTGGTGGTGGAGAACACCAGGCTGAGTCAGCAGTATTTCTCTGCTGTGCAGAAGTTCGTGGTGTTGGAGCTGGGCCTGACCGTGCTGCCGGTCAGTGGACAGACGGAGGCGGCGCAGCTCATCGCACAGATCGTAAGTTCTAAACATGAGTGGTTAGAACCCAGATCTCCAACGGTGGTGACAGACTCTGATCATCTCCAGGTCCACAGCAGCAGCAGAGAGAACCCCTTCAGAAGGACCGTATCCCCTCGGATCCTGGACCCGTTGGTCCTGGCTGTGGTCCAGAAGGTTCCTGGTGTGGGCGGGGTCAAGGCTCTGGCTCTGCTACAGAAGTTCTCCAGCCTGCAGCAGCTTAGTAACGCCACCAGCAGCGAGCTGGAGCCTGTGGTTGGTCGGGCCGCTGCTCAGCACATCCACAGCTTCTTCAACAGGTCCACGGGGCAGTGACCCACGGGGCAGTGACCCACGGGGCAGTGACCCACGGGGGAGGGA